GACACTGATGTCTCAATCAGGCCACACCCCTTCCACCTTTAGCCACACAGTGACGGTGACCTGCCAACCTAAGCTTTCTTTCGGTTTATACATTCGGTGAACGCACAAACACTTATGTCCAGATGACATCATATAATAATTGCTGTTAATAGTGTTCATCATCTGTTTGATTACGTCTTTAATTGATTGTCTTTAATTGATTTTTCCGTACATTTCTGCCATATGTACATTAACTGACAGACACCACTGATAAGCTACCACTAAATATTGTAGAAACTTAATTTGCTGTGAAGTTGCTTTGCAAGGATTTGTATGGTGAAAAGCGCTATACAAATAAACTTGAATTGAATTGAATCTTTTAAAGACTGGGAAATGGAAAGAGATGATGATGCTCTGAGAGAGAGAGAGAGGCGGAGGAAGAGAGCAGGAGAGGGCACTTAAAATCCCAGATGGCAAAGAGGACCTGTCAGAATTAATGGTGCTGTATCAGGTGAGAAAGGAGGTGTGAAATTGGTCAGAGCAGAATGTTCTCCAAAATCACACATGATCAGTCTTCCTTTATCTGACCTCAGCGAGGGACAATAATGATGAACTGCACTCCTAAAAATACCTGATCGTGGATCATAATGGCGAGTACGATTAAATGCTTGATGTTGGTCAAAATAGCCATACGTGTAGTTTCCCCAAAAACTATTGGCACACTTAAGCCATGAAAATGTAGGTATTTTGTTGTATTAGTTATTAAAATATCAAATCAAGTGGCATCTGCCAACAAGTTCAGAAAGATGCCCTAACAAAGCAGCCACTGGTTTAGTTCATACTATCTATACTAACTGAAGAATCTTACCAACAGTTTTGGTTCCATTGACTTCCATTGTATTTTTTGTCCATGTAATGAAAGTCCATGGAAAACAGACTTTCTTTTTTTCTCTGGAACACTGAAGAATGCTGGTAAGTAGTTTCCAATCCCACTGACTTCCACTGTATTTTTTTTAATCTATAAAATGAAAATCAATGGGAACCGAAACAGCTTGTTTACCGACATTCTTCAAAATAACCTCTCTTATGTTCCACAGAAGAAAGAAAGTCATACAGGTTTGAAACGACATGAGGGTGAGTAAATGTTGACAGAATTGTCATTTATGGCTGGACTATACCTTTAAGTGTGGCTTATGTATCCAAAAACGTTTTAGGGCCAGTGACTGTATTACAGCATCTGTCATAAATTGCATGCACAAAAACTGCATGTAGACTAGGGGTGTGAATCGGCACTGGTTTCACGATTCAAATCGATTACGATTATCATGTCAACGATTCAATTCAGTTCGAAATCATGATGCATCAAAGAAAGTCATACAGGTTTGAAACGACATGAGGGTGAGTAAATGTTGACAGAATTGTCATTTATGGCTGGACTATACCTTTAAGTGTGGCTTATGTATCCAAAAACGTTTTAGGGCCAGTGACTGTATTACAGCATCTGTCATAAATTGCATGCACAAAAACTGCATGTAGACTAGGGGTGTGAATCGGCACTGGTTTCACGATTCAAATCGATTACGATTATCATGTCAACGATTCAATTCAGTTCGAAATCATGATGCATCACGATTATATCAAATTTATTTTGTGCATTTTTATTCAATTATATAAGCAGCAGACTACTTTTTAAAATAATTATGTTAATTAATTAATTCTTAATATGATTAATATTATATTAATTAATTAATATATAATTGATTAATTATTGTTAAGAATTCAAAGTAAATATAGCTAGCTTTTAAAGCATACAAGCAAATATAAAGTAATAAAGGGGGGAAAATACAATTACAAGGGATAAACAAAAAGCACTTTCATTATCTGGGAGTTTACAGATAGACAAATCATAGTTATGGGTTTTTCTTTTTTGCCATTTGATTATGACTGATGAGATCATAGACAGTGGAGCTTTAATAGGCTGCATTCACACTAATGCACAGATCTATTTCGACATATCCGATATGTTGTCCTGTTCTGAAAACAGAACTGATTGTTTACATCAATTTCGTATCATAAAAGTAGATGCAAGTGCATTTAACCGCAGCCGCGAGCTTCAGGACAAGCACAAAGCGCACCAGCTACGCTAATTATGTCTCTATTTGTTTCTCTGTTTCTGCCACGGGATGTCAGGATTTACACAAGCTTCAGTCTGGATCCAGAACACCTGAGAAGAGATGATGCCAACCCCTCAGAGGACCTCAGATGATGCCAACCCTGAAACAACATACAGAACTACCACATTTTGCTATAAGTTTGATTGCATCATATAATAATTGCTGTTAATAGTGTTCATCATCTGTTTGATTACGTCTTTAATTGATTGTCTTTAATTGATTTTTCCGTACATTTCTGCCATATGTACATTAACTGACAGACACCACTGATAAGCTACCACTAAATATTGTAGAAACTTAATTTGCTGTGAAGTTGCTTTGCAAGGATTTGTATGGTGAAAAGCGCTATACAAATAAACTTGAATTGAATTGAATCTTTTAAAGACTGGGAAATGGAAAGAGATGATGATGCTCTGAGAGAGAGAGAGAGGCGGAGGAAGAGAGCAGGAGAGGGCACTTAAAATCCCAGATGGCAAAGAGGACCTGTCAGAATTAATGGTGCTGTATCAGGTGAGAAAGGAGGTGTGAAATTGGTCAGAGCAGAATGTTCTCCAAAATCACACATGATCAGTCTTCCTTTATCTGACCTCAGCGAGGGACAATAATGATGAACTGCACTCCTAAAAATACCTGATCGTGGATCATAATGGCGAGTACGATTAAATGCTTGATGTTGGTCAAAATAGCCATACGTGTAGTTTCCCCAAAAACTATTGGCACACTTAAGCCATGAAAATGTAGGTATTTTGTTGTATTAGTTATTAAAATATCAAATCAAGTGGCATCTGCCAACAAGTTCAGAAAGATGCCCTAACAAAGCAGCCACTGGTTTAGTTCATACTATCTATACTAACTGAAGAATCTTACCAACAGTTTTGGTTCCATTGACTTCCATTGTATTTTTTGTCCATGTAATGAAAGTCCATGGAAAACAGACTTTCTTTTTTTCTCTGGAACACTGAAGAATGCTGGTAAGTAGTTTCCAATCCCACTGACTTCCACTGTATTTTTTTTATCTATAAAATGAAAATCAATGGGAACCGAAACAGCTTGTTTACCGACATTCTTCAAAATAACCTCTCTTATGTTCCACAGAAGAAAGAAAGTCATACAGGTTTGAAACGACATGAGGGTGAGTAAATGTTGACAGAATTGTCATTTATGGCTGGACTATACCTTTAAGTGTGGCTTATGTATCCAAAAACGTTTTAGGGCCAGTGACTGTATTACAGCATCTGTCATAAATTGCATGCACAAAAACTGCATGTAGACTAGGGGTGTGAATCGGCACTGGTTTCACGATTCAAATCGATTACGATTATCATGTCAACGATTCAATTCAGTTCGAAATCATGATGCATCACGATTATATCAAATTTATTTTGTGCATTTTTATTCAATTATATAAGCAGCAGACTACTTTTTAAAATAATTATGTTAATTAATTAATTCTTAATATGATTAATATTATATTAATTAATTAATATATAATTGATTAATTATTGTTAAGAATTCAAAGTAAATATAGCTAGCTTTTAAAGCATACAAGCAAATATAAAGTAATAAAGGGGGGGGAAATACAATTACAAGGGATAAACAAAAAGCACTTTCATTATCTGGGAGTTTACAGATAGACAAATCATAGTTATGGGTTTTTCTTTTTTGCCATTTGATTATGACTGATGAGATCATAGACAGTGGAGCTTTAATAGGCTGCATTCACACTAATGCACAGATCTATTTCGACATATCCGATATGTTGTCCTGTTCTGAAAACAGAACTGATTGTTTACATCAATTTCGTATCATAAAAGTAGATGCAAGTGCATTTAACCGCAGCCGCGAGCTTCAGGACAAGCACAAAGCGCACGTGAAAGTCTGTCAGTACGTGAGTTTCGTGCATCTAATACGTAGGCTACTGCATTCCAGACGGCATAAATGAAAGCACATCTAAAGTAAAAGACTAAAATAACAGCGAATGGAAACATATTCAAGCAATACGCACGTGTCTCACAGCGCATATCCCGTGCAATGAAGCCCGCAGCGATTGTCTCTAGCCCGCAAAGCTAAACTCAGATTTTAAAATAGAGAGTGCATTTTTAACCCCTTAACTGTCTCCGTCCCGTATACGGGGCGCCTAAATTGACTTCAATATATCACAATTAAATCCTAATTTCATTATCTGGGAGTTTACAGATAGACAAATCATAGTTATGGGTTTTTCTTTTTTGCCATTTGATTATGACTGATGAGATCATAGACAGTGGAGCTTTAATAGGCTGCATTCACACTAATGCACAGATCTATTTCGACATATCCGATATGTTGTCCTGTTCTGAAAACAGAACTGATTGTTTACATCAATTTCGTATCATAAAAGTAGATGCAAGTGCATTTAACCGCAGCCGGTTAAGCACAAAGCACAAAGCGCACGTGAAAGTCTGTCAGTACGTGAGTTTCGTGCATCTAATACGTAGGCTACTGCATTCCAGACGGCATAAATGAAAGCACATCTAAAGTAAAAGACTAAAATAACAGCGAATGGAAGCATATTCAAGCAATACGCACGTGTCTCACAGCGCATATCCCGTGCAATGAAGCCCGCAGCGATTGTCTCTAGCCCGCAAAGCTAAACTCAGATTTTAAAATAGAGAGTGCATTTTTAACCCCTTAACTGTCTCCGTCCCGTATACGGGGCGCCTAAATTGACTTCAATGTATCACAATTAAATCCTAATCTAATCATGACAAAATATATACTGTATATATCGTTGGAAAGGTCTAAGACTCCTAAATAGATTTTTTTACCACTGCTTGTTGTTAAAAATTATGTAGGAACAGTAATAGATTAATTTATGACAAGAGTGCACCTCAAAACATATACATCATAACAAGAGTTCTGGCCTTTGTCACAAAAATTCTTCTTCGCTTCCTTTTTCCATATCACATGTTTTAGTAATAATCATAAATTATATATCATTTGAAAGCTTAAAACCTCTAAATTCATCCAGTGAAAACCATTTTGAAATCAGATACTGCGTTACCATGGAAATTGTACTTTAAAATCTTTTAGCGGGCTCCTCCCCCTTAGAGGGAGGTGTCATTTTCCAAATGTGTTATGGTCTTTTAGAATCAAAACTTTTCTTAATCTTGACAAAATACATATCGTTGGAAAGGTCTGCGTCTCAAGATTCCATATTTGGTGGTTTTTGTCATCGATGTAATATTGAGAGAGAAATTGATACATTTGTGACAGAAAAATGCATCAAAAAAATTAAATGGAGTTTGTATGGCACCCGGTGGCTGTTTGTGGTATAACGCCTAAACAAAATTGCATAGGAACCTTAATTTTTTTTATATCAACTTCAAATTTGGAACACAATGTATTTAGACATATGGCTTTAATTTTATAGCAATTTTGGATTAAAACATATTTTATAAAATATTTATTTTATATAAAATTAAATAAAAATAGTGCAGTACATTTTCTTTACAGTAAATTTTAACTTCTATAACTCTTTTATGCTTTCTTTTTTTTTCTTTTTTTTTTTACATGATTTCACTTCTGCAATAATCTGCAGATTGTCTTCTTTAAAAAGAGACCAACCTTAAGTCTGTATTTAAGTGTTTTATCCACGATCAGGTAAACCTTAAGTGTTTATGAATTATAACAATTAAAGTTTGAATAGTGCACTTTCACGTCTATGTTCAGGGGGGGGGGGGGGGGGGGGGGTGT